TGTAACCGGCTCAGTTCAGCTGTGGAGTTCTGTGCATCCTAACTTGCTCCGTATCCCCGTTTACACGATAACGAATCACGACTATACATTTTGATGTTTTGTATTGCACTGATGTAAATTTCCACGGAAAAGTCCACTTAAACAAATTAATCATAAAGCACCCATTAACGTTGGATGCGTAAGGTCGGTCAGCGCAAATATTGAGCGTGTCCCAGCACACAATCAAACAATATGCGAAAAAAACTCAGAAAAACCGCATTGCGGCAGCTCAACACAGGCATTCAACCAAACTCCTTTTTTCCATCACTGGTTGACGGCCTAAAACAAGATGTTTTGGTTGGTATAATCGAATTTCGCTTTCACACACAAATGTAAAAGTGGTTCTTTTAATCTTTACATATAAAAGCTTTGAATCAACTCAGAGATGGCAGCTAAACTACGTAAACTGAGAATGACGGTTGTGGAAGACTGTGGAGGAATTTGGCTCACTTAGACAAGATTGTTCGACTCGTGTGCGTCACCACATACCACAGGCGAACCAAACCATATCAACCAAAATCAAATCGTGAAAGCCTGTGCGCATGTGCGAATGACATCGGAATGCAGTACAGATGGGTTTGTTTGAAAGATACTGCTCAGAAATTTGCCAAAGTATGCTATACAGTGGCCTCAAAAGAATCCCACAGGAATAAAAATTCATTAAAGTGTACTTTCGGTCTGTATTGGTTGCCAGGATGGGACAATGCGCTGCCAGTTTATGCGTGTAACGGGGATGATATTGTTGTTACATTGTAGCTGTTGTTACATCATAGCAACTTAGCAGAGCTTATTATAGTCACTGATCATGGAAAAAAAATAACGGATGGACTTACCGGAAAACGCACCGAAGGTCGCTCATGTGCGGCAAGTGAAACCACACCACCTACTTAGCGAAATTCACCCACGAAAACTGAACGATCTGATGACCGACTATACCTGTGCCAGCAGGTTAGAAATGAATCAGAGGCACATACCACCAGGTCAGCGTCACACAATTTCTCATGCAAAAAACCATGAAGGATATCGAAATTTCTCATCAGCAAGGACGTTCTATCTGAGACGAATATCATGGATCTCATTCGAAATGGACCAGCCCGCATGTCCTCATTATTTGGCAACTTGTCCTACAACATATTGGAATAATTTACCTCGGTTCTTGGAAATGTCAAAATCCTCAATGCTCCATAGAAGCTTCGATTTTTCTTACTGCCGGACAGTTTTCATTTTTCCTCGAGTTTTCAGCAAGCTCATATCTAAAATTTCTAAACCCAAATGCCGAACGGGAAACTTGTCCATAGTAGGTTTTAAATGAGTATGTTGCAAAATGTAGTGGACTGTCCAAGTTTATAGATCACCTGTTAATGTAGGTTTCGTCCTGTAAGTTAAACTAGTCTATGCTGAAGGGTCAAGAACCACTGTACAACTACTTTATTCTCATTAGCAAAGTGCATCTGACGGAAACGGTAATGTTATCGAACCAGCGACTTCCCAGATAGTATTTTGAAAAAACCTTCCAGACGCTAGCGGCTGATCAGCAGTTAGCTCGCACTTATGTAGGACTGAAGCATTAGTGGCACCATAGCTTATCTAGGTGGAACGGCGGATGTCCTGTGCTTTTAATTACCCACTCTTATACGCACGCCATCTTTACGTGCAAACGATTGTTCACTTTAACAATGAAGATCCACGACGTGGTACTCTTGCACAAATAAAACTTCTGAAACAAATGTTGATGACCTCATTTTTGAAACTGGCTTGACTTCGCTTGTTGGACGACGAATCAAATTGTGTTTTGCTCACCAGAACAAGGCACGACATGACCTGAGGCGACCAGTTTGCCCTAGCTGACGTTGGGGCAAATTTGTTAGTCTGTTTCCCAGAAAAATATTGTGTTGCTAGCAAGACAGAGTCAGGCAAAAACATTTCCTGCTTCGTTTGATCTGAACCAGTACCAGGAGTGACGCGAATTTTTTGATAGTCGAATGGAGAATAGGATATGTTTGGTTGTCTAATATTGTGCACCGCCCATGCGGCGCCATTGTCTGCGCCACCATATCGTTAAAGACGAATGACATACCAGGAATATATAACCAAAGATAACAATTCATGGCGGTGAAGTAAACTTAGGTCGACCCCTAATTCAAAGCCATAGTGGTAAAAACGAAGGCGGCCATACTTCCGGTTCTAGATGGCTTTGTCCTAACCAATATCCCCATCCCCCTAAAGTGTTCATGCAAGATATAAATTTGATGAAATCTTACGAACTATGCCTACTGTATGATCCCAAGACTAAGTAAACCGGCAGTGGTTCTCAGAAAGCTAATATCAACGTTATCTCTAGTGATGGGGCAATAACCGGTTATTTCTCAGTGGGGAAGAGGTGACTTTGACGAGCTTATGTGACAGGACTATTAGCCCGTTGGTGCTACTTATCTATGGTAGCCAACAACTCCATTGGAACGTGTGCCTCACAAAATAGTCAAAGTATTTTATCGTTGAATCGTCTTTTGTATATCAAGTTACAATTGGCTAAATCGTGAAATGGCGCAGCTTGAAATTTATTATTTATGAAGAGGGTGAGAATTGCGCACAAACGAACTTAGCTGTTGCTTTACACAAGGATTGTTGCAAGTGGTACACGACGGTTTTCGAAGAGTTTTGGCCGGAGGTTCAAAACTCAAAGCAGTCTCAAAAGCTTGTCGTTCCGTCTCCAAAACTACTTGACGAATAGCAAGTAGCAAGAAGCCGGTACTGGGCTGTCCGATAACCTTCAGGAAACCCGAAAATCCGGTCATGTCGGCAAAAAGGCCATAACGGTTTTCGACTTGTTTGTTATGTAAATTTCAACAATGCTCCCCAGGAGTTTACAACCACTCCTGGATATAGAACTCACCAACACCCATTCGAACATCCATGGATAATGATGTGGTTACTGAAACAATTGTAAATTGGCATCAATTACGGATAAGGCCAGCAAAGTGAAAGTGATCGGACAACCAACCAAGGTGAATCTGTATTCCTAATACAACCTTTCGATGGTCATGATTGCAAGAATGCAGTGACTGAATAAGTATTCAGTAGTATGTCATTTGGGCAGTTTGAAATCCACTTTGAGGCCCATGAATAATCAGTTCTAGAGAATCGTCAATGAGAATTTCGTTCAACAGGGTATTTGATGGTGATATTGACATTAATGGTCAATTGGTCAACTGATGATAAGCACTACATCATACTAGCTCAGCTTTATGAAACCGCAAACTCGCCCTGGATTCTGTCGAACGAAGCTGAGAAAATGGGCTTCTAGGCGACGTGTAGACCCAATGACTCTGCTGGTGCAATCAACATACCTAGGTTTTTCTCAGCAAAACATGACGGACCTGATTGTGAGGGGGTTTTGCATGCATTTGATGACAAAGCTGATAAAACGTACCTCTCTAAATCAATTTTAGAGACTCTACAGTTTTCAACAACGTCGCACCGTCAGTGAGTTTCTTTTGTGCTATTGAGGTACTTAATAGTAGTTTTCGGCTTACTTACCAACACTTGGCAAACGTCATAAACCAGAAAACCCTGCTAGTTGCTTTCCCAAGAGGACGTACATGCAGAAGGGTGGGCAATGCACAAGGGTGAAATGAGTTGTTCTGTCGTATTGTTGTCGACGAATGACTACCGAATAGCATATGTATATATATATATATATATATATATGAATGCAGTAGATATATGTGAGATCGAGGCGTTTTATTAACTTGAATAAGACCGAAGTCGATATAAGACATGGGGCTAACATGAGTGCATTATTGTCGAGAAAGTTTAAGGAAATGTGGTTCTATGAGCCCAGTAACAAGCAGTGTGGTAACCAGTGAAACTTCAAGCGTTACAGAATAAATGTGGTGCGCACCGCTTTGTTTAGTTTAGCAGCTCTAGCCAGCCACATTTGACTCCAAACAAATTCTCTTGTGTAAGATAATTTAGTTAGCAAGACTGGGCTGATTCGTAGCGAATGGTCGACAGAAAACGAACCAAGCTCAACTTCCTTCGGATATGCGAACAAAGTCGCAAATCTTCCCCACAAGATTTAATTGGTGGGGGCCGGTTGACGCACCGGAATGCCTAAAAAAACAGTCTACTCCACTGTCAGCAGAGGTGTCTTTCAGTGTATGATAGAATGCAGCTCTACCTTTGAAGCAGTATATTCTGAGATTTCCTACTTAGAAACACGCCGAATGACAGCTTGAATTTCACTTCACTCAAGGAGGGAATCATGCCTGACGACAAAAACAAACCAAGCATAACTATGACCATTGTGATGACTCGTGATTTCATAATGCAAAAAATTTGCAATGCAGGTATCAAACATCAAATAACACAGAGGCACAAGACAAAGTTTTAAAAAGTATTTTTTGCTTTGAAGGTGGGCTGACTGGCTTGTTTTCGTTTTGGTGTAAACCTATTGGTTGTGGGACTCTTAGCTATCCAAGGTGTGGACCAATATGTTCCCTCAGAATTACGGCACAGTCGTGACGCACTATTCATAAGGCTGCTGAAAACCCTCTGACAGCATACGACAGGCTTCAGCCTTCTTGTGGTTCATGGGTATGCACAATCCCCGAGTTTATAATATAAATAAATTGCAATAAACTGGCAAAATTCACACTAACGAGAGGTTCAGTCTGGATTAAGGTGAGCCAACTGTGAAAACCAAATTAGTGCTCGAATGAGAGTATTCCGCTATGCATGACTTTGTTCTCAAAAAAAAGCATCGTCTAGGTGAGCAAAGCGTCTCTGCATATCAACAGTCACTAACTGACATGTCGAAATTAGCTTGTTTTGCCTTGTCACATAGAGGCGTCTGTGGATGTTTTCGCAAAATAGTGACAAATAGGCGACGAGTGTGACTTACGCTGAGCTGTGAACAGACCATTTTGAACTAAATGCACCTTTTCCCCCAGAAATACTAGAACGTTTCCAATTTTGATTTCCAAAAGGCAATGGTCACAAAGGATCACCAAAAAGCGGGGTGAAGTTCCCCGAGTAAGCAAAAACCTCAACTGATCGATATGTCAAAATATGCCCATGTTTAGGTACACAGGACAAATGCTAACAGAGAAGTATGATAGTAAATATTTCGGAATATTTTACAGGAAATATTGTGCGTCAAAACAGCATTATACCAAGTAAAAATTTGGGCAAAAAAGTCAATTTATATTTGACAAACAATAGCAATAAGTATTGTTTCAAACAATGGCAATGGATGGTGCGGTATGTCGTTCACGCTTCCGTCTAAAATTCCCGTGCATGATGATTTTCGGGCGAGGCCTCGTCGGCAGGATATGTTTAGGGTTGAATTGTGCTGCTCCTGCTGAAAAAAAAGAAAAAAAAGCGAATACTAGATAAGAATGGGTCTCGGGAACAGAATAGCTGGTTTTCTGCTTCCACGGTGTTTTCAATAAACCGATTATGCTCTGGGTTTGAATTTTCTTGAACGGTACAAACCACATATCATGTCCAGTGTGGTTTCCTAATACGTTCACTTGCAGAACCTCAGCATGCTTCTCAGTGAGGCCTTGCTTGCATATCAGGGAAAACCCAAATCATTCCAGTCTGTGTGATCGTAAGTCAAGGGTCGGCGAATGCACGGCATGCCGCTAGAACAGTTCACCTAATCATCACTAAGGAAGCGGTAACTATAGCGTTGCGCGGTTAAAATATAATAACTGGTGTTTTTTAAGGCTTGTTAACTGAATTTCGGCTCAGTGGAAACATCGGTTCAAGCAGTTGAACTAGTCCTGAACTTCGTTTGTCAGATCTGTCCTTTCTTCTTCCTTGACCGTGTAAGTCAGGAGGCCGCTGACTGGGACTGCCTGTTCCATCCAAATGAAGTGTAGCGGGTAATGAAGCATCAGCTTTTGATGAGAAGTTATCCTGTGTATGTTGAGCTTTTAACATGTTACAGGGGACTCAAACAACAGTACTACAGTACTACAGTACAAGAGTACTACAGACAACACTTTCTTTTTTTGGTTTGGAAATAGATAGCACTCCCCCACCTGGAAAACTGGTGTTTAACTTTTCTTCAAAATGTCTAACAAATATAGAATTTGCGCAACCCAAAACATCGTTTGAATGGTGTTGGGATTTCGAAGATTCACTGTCGTTGGAGAGTAAACCTTTACACCTACGGGCATATTCCTTTTATTACCGCTACGTATGTACTGGATGGGTGCACAGCAATACATCTTGTGAGTACGAAAGCCTTCTGTAACGAACCGATTATCAGTGAGTGAACCGGAGCGGTCAACACCACAGAAGGTCAGCAACACTGAGATTTACTAAAGAAAAATAGTGAACGTTTTGGTGAGAAGGAACTCTTCTAACAGTGCCTTTCCAACGAACTGTGAAAAAAGTAGGCTTTCTGAATATTTGTCAAAGTACAACCCCCTTTAAAATCAGGCTTTCAGGGAGGTTTTTCCAAAATTATCACCGAGAATGCAACCCCAAGAGCCGATAGACAATGGCTTTATCGCTGCCAGATCAAACCGTAGACAACTTTCCATTTTGGATATGTCCGAATTACAGAATCTCAGCATACAAATATTGACTAGTAAGAGGGCTGTGTGGCGGAGGTCGAGAGTCGAATACCACAGGTCTGGTAGTTCGAATTCTAGCAGGATCATTCACCAGTTACTGATTAAGGGCACTCGACCGAGTGGCAGTGTCCAAGATCAGACAATTTGACGCTAAAAAGTGAATGCTATTAAATACATCTACGTATGAATTTACCGACCTACTGACAACCAAAAAAAGTCATTCAGAGAGTAATTTGCACAATAACACACTAGATGAGTACCTATGAACACAGTTTCGCAAACTAGACCGCCTGAAAAGTGCCACCCTAATTAACGATCTTGTCAGTAACTTAGAAAGGTGTGGGGACAGAGGTCGATTCATTTGTTTGTCGAAGTTACTAATTGAAAGGTCCCTGTCACTCTGTTCACGCCGCACGAGAACCGTCTGTTAGGCACACAGTCATTCGGTCCTGTACTCTCCTCACACGCAGACTGACATATTGGTAGAGATAGAAGGTAGAGTCCACTAGATCTTTGAAGACAAGAGTCAACGTGTCAGGTAGACTGAGGACAAGCAACACGCGGAGGTAAAGTGAAGGTTACACAAATATGACGCATAGTGCTGGGACACGGTTTCAGTTGGCATTAGTCGCCCCTTCAAGCGATCACAAATATCATTCGTAAAACAAAGTTATTCTGACGCCAAACACAAGTTTTGACATATATCCACAGTACTCAAACGGTAGTTGTTCGGTTAGTCCACTATCTTGCGTTCTTTCTGTACAAACGGAGTATCAAAGGTAACTGAACCAAAAACACAGGGAATTTTCAGCCGTGCAGTATGGTTTCGGCTGTTATGTAATGTGTGATTGCATGATTACCCCCCGGCCTTTCCGTGAGGATCGCTTGTCAGACGAACAGTCGTGTTTTTTAAGAAATACTGCCCTGTTTTAGTGAAGTAGCAACCAAATTTAACAGGCACCAAATCTTGTGAGTATGACTCACCAACACAGCTGGTTGGTCAGCTCTTAGCCCTGCAACATTGATGCAATGAGTCAGACCATCAGTCATCTCAACGTGTGTCTAATGAATAGCATATTAGTACAAGCGTTCACCTTTGTTTGGAGCGCCGTTTGATATTCTTCCGTGAACATCAGTGGATAAGAGCGCATTCGTCAGATCACACCTAATGAGACAAGCATCTTTTATTGGTTGAAAATTGACTGCCTCTCCTGGGGCGCGGGTGCAGCAGACCGTTCTAGGTGTGTTTCTTATTTGTGATGAATGGTCCACATGTTGTTCAGAGAACCACCGTTGCACTGTCTTTGAGGTCACTCTTCCTGCTTACTCCTCTGGTTACACACATTGCAATTCTTAATTTCCTTCTGGTTCGCTGTCAACCGAAGACACCCGACTGACAATAAACGTCTTATGAATGCAGCCTTCCTCCCACTAGTCGAATGTAATTTTTGTTGGACGGACTTAGTCAGAAGCATAATTGCTCATCTTGGGCGTCGAAGAGACCTTCACTGTGCCAGATGATAACGTGAACTTGCTGAGACAAGTAAATAGGTCTGTAAAGAATCTGCGGGGCTCTAACAAGAATGTGCATACCCAAACTGGTAGGGGAGAAAGTCATACGATCATTTTACTCTGGAATTGTGGAAAACTCCAACTTCTGCTAGCTACTTTGCGAATACTCTCTAGCAAAGTAGCTTGTAAGCGTTTCGTTTGAATGCCAAAAGTTACTCCACTTTTCCGGAAAAGTTTTGCCACTAGCTGCCAGATTTTACATTAGAAAGCTGCTACGCATCCTTCAAGCCTACTTTTCACACTATTTTTTATTTTTAACCACAGAAAAAACATATAATACGCCTCATTCAGAAACAAACTCGTTCCGAAGGGAACGCACATTTTAGAATATTTAACAGCGCACCTTGCCTTCCGAGATGTAACCCTTTTCCGCTAAAAAATATTTAGCTACACTTTTCAAGTGACATAGAAAGAAGAGAACGGTGACATCTTGAAAACGGACATGAGCGAACGGGGAGGAAGTCCACTTGAATGCAAAGTTACCTGTAAGTACTGGTGGGACGTTTTTGAAGAATTCGCCTAACATGTTTCCGGGTGGCATGTAGCGGCCAACAACGAAAACCTGATGACCGTCCTTGGTCGAGGCAACGCCAAAACCAGCTTTGACGGTCGATTTCCAAATTAGTTGGGTAAAATGACCTTCAGTAACAGGAAACAAAAGTTGGAATGCATTGAGGAGTAATTTAATGTTAACAGAACAACAATGTATAATTTTCAATTCTTATGGTCAGTAAAATTTAAGGTTGGAATGCATTGAGGAGTAATTTAATGTTAACAGAACAACAATGTATAATTTTCAATTCTTATGGTCAGTAATTTTCAATTTAAGGTAGAAAGCTCGACGTTGAGATGTGAGACGCGCTGTTCCTTAAACGTTTTTCCAATAAAGTTGAATTCATCTTGGATGACAGTTTTTCGAACCGGACTCTTCAGAATGTCTTCTTATGTGAGGAAATTTCAGCTTCCATGTAGACTAAATCGTGAGCATGAACTGCTTTTCGACTATACATTGTTCATTTTTTAGGAGGGTAGGAAATGTGGAGACTTCAAAGTTAGCCTCACAAAGGCAATTTAAAAACCTGTCAATACCTTAAGCACCAAGACTCAAGGAAGATTACATCAATATACGTCAAGCAGATCCAGTAGCCAAGCTTTGTTATAGAGTGTGCGCTTATGAGTTCACTTTATTATCCACAAATCACACGTGAAGATGAAGTAAAGCATTTGAATTTCGAGCGATTTGACACACTAATTATAACGCACTTAGCACTTTAACCAAGACTCAAGGAAGATTACATCAATATACGTCAAGCAGATCCAGTAGCCAAGCTTTGTTATAGAGTGTGCGCTTATGAGTTCACTTTATTATCCACAAATCACACGTGAAGATGAAGTAAAGCATTTGAATTTCGAGCGATTTCACACACTTATTATAACGCACTTAGCACTTTATAGAGCGAAATCGAAATAAAAAATACAGGATCGCGGAAATTTTTTAATCTTCATCCTCCTTGCAGATACTCGGCGAAATTTGTACTTCAAAATTTACCACTTTAGACGTGCACTACATTCTTTCCACGAAAAAGAATTTAACGCTCTCTAGTTTTCTCTTTACAAGAGCACGCCAAGAAAGAAAACATCTAAAAGGTAGAGCTTACTGTTTACCTAGCCAGACGAATTGTATCATGCGAAGTACAATGCCTTCCAAACATCACAAAGTGTAAGCTCTGGTTATCTAGGGTGAACAGTACAATAGTTGCCCCGAACTAATATCCAAAATGCGCTGCCCGAAAAGTTTTCACTACGAGTGTTTCGCAACCTTACAAATAAGCAATTTTTCTTACTCCGCATTTTTCTGACGATGAAATAAAGCGGTGAAACTGGTGAAGTAACACTCTCTGAAACCCAGCAATGCCTCATGAGCAAGCCCGCCGTTGTCATCTATAGAATACGTTGTCACAGATATAGAAGTAACTGGTACAGTGACTGAACACAGATCTAAATGCACTACATTAAGGGCTATTGCAAACTTGTTTTTTCTGCTGAAACTTATGCGCTGCCCAACTGTGCGTTACTGAAGTCTCTTTGTTAGATGCAACTTTACGTCGTAAGAAAGTAATCCTGCAAGGAAATTCTTATGACAATTATTGGATCACATAAATCTTGGCAAGCAATTTTGGCTTAACAAAAGCTATGCGTCCTCAAGAGTTTCGATTATGAATGTTTAATTGCAGAAATAAGCAAGCGGCAGGAAGTCATTCGTTCGGTCATTGATGCAAAGATTGCCAGATGTATGCAGGAAGGCGGCAATATTTTCGGTGTTACAGGAATGGCCAATTTTCACAGCCAAAGACACTGCCCCTGAATGTTCTAGGCCCTCTCGTTTACATTATTATTGGTTTGGTTGTCCGAAATAGGACAGTATGACATTCCAGCAACTTCCAATGGCGGTTGGATCTAGGGTACCAGCCGATGGATTTATGGGGCCGCTTGCAGGCTGTAACTGTGCTTAGATTTTTGAGATTTAGCAAATTTAGGTTAAGGTAAGTTCAGTTCTTGAATGCTCTGACTTCTAAAAGTAATTAATTAATGTTCCCAGAAGATTTCCAGTATCCGTCGCGCTATCTGACTCAGAAATCCTGACAGACGGATCAGTTAATCAACATAATCAAGGTATTTTCTGGTTCTTTGCTTGAGGCTTCAGGCAAGCTAATCACACTGCTGTGAGAGCAAGAGACAAGGTAACTCAGGTACTTTGAGCGTGCACCGGTGGAGTAGTGATAACGTGCTTGAATCTGCTTGCTTTAATCTCTGCAAGGTCAAGAATTCGCACTGATGATGAGTTATAAATAGGCAGAACCCGCGTCCAGTGCATCCTGTCTTTTGGGTAAGTGACCCAGAACGTGAGGAGGAATGTGGGTAAGAGACCGAATATTCAGTAGTTATTTGCTTCTTGAGAGATTTCCCTTTAAAACACAGTAACATTTCTGTAAAGACAAAACCGAACAGGCCCTTTCTAATGGGTTGTTTTTTGGAGAGGCACGTTCGCTAGTTTGCAGTTGTGCCCTCTTTGAGTTGACGATCATCAGATGCAACCAATTTCAACGGCTCCATCAAGGTGCATTCCTATTAACTACTCTCTCCATCTGGATGGGGATCAGCTGAAACCGATCTTTATGGGAGAACTCTGCTGTTGAAATGAATGTCAAGAAACTAAACAACAATTGGTTCCTCTGACTGATTACCTCTCCAGAAAAAGACTACAAGTATCTCCGACAACTGACTACGCTTTGTCGTTCCTGATGGTGGTCCAGGTCTTCAGAAAAACAGTCAAATTGGGTTTATTTTGTGAATGGTTTGGCCGTGATACAATCGATCAGATAGTTGGATGTCGTCTACCGAAATACGTCAGTTCCAGACCACAACCGTTTGAGACGTATCAAAATTGCCCTGATTGAAGTGGTCTACTTAACTGGGAGAGAGTTCAGAGGTCCTTATGGTGCAAACTCGTTACCATAGTGATTTCCATGACTTTCAAATATAAGACAGATTAACCCTGAATCAGAGATTTTTTCGCCAAAATGCACTTTATCTGTCGTTTCCTCCAAATCGTGTTGGTAATGCAAAAGTGGCTAAAACCAGAGGAGGGCAAACGCCGGGGACTGACCCAAAGTATGAAACTGATACAGTGCAGATTTTTTCGAAAACATATCTTAGTGTGTATGTGAGAGATTCTGTGGTCCGTAAAAGGACTCCGGCGAGCAGAGAATGCATAAATGATGTATGAGGATTGCCCGAGATTGGAACTTGCCTGCATACTTAGCGGCAATAAAAACTTTAAGAATTTCGGATCATCGCCATGATCTTTATTCCGTGACGACTTGGATATATATACAAGTAATTCCAACTAATGAGCACACTCGATCGCTGTCTTACTACATCTGGCGTCAGGGGTAAATTGCATTTAGGCTGGCTTATACTTCAAGCTTTTGGTGACTGACTGAGTGAAGTGTAACACAGTAATGAAGTAGCCTTAAAGAATCGGAGGAAAACCACATAAAATCTAGTTAGTTCGGGGAAGTTTTGGTTGTCTTGAAGGCTTTTATCACTCACATTGTGGTGCCACACTCATTCATCTAGGGCAGTTACTGCATCGCCATTTATTGTGTGGTTTATCAGTGAGGCACTATTTATCTGAAAGGGGCGTTGGAGATGAATTATGTTCCGGGGTGGAGCAAGTAAACCGGTCTGAAGAATGACGTCTAATAGGCGGGTTCTTGGGTTATGACGTCACAATGTCTTGAAAAGCAAGTACAGGAAGGGAGAGAGCAGAGGGGAAGAGTGACTCACAGGTTGTAAAGGGTTAACATCTTGATTAGGATGTTTGCAGATATGAAAGAACAGTTTGGGCTTTGACTGGTTTTTTGTCGTGGGAACTTATCCTCTTGGAAAACTAGATGTTTCACCCATCCAGTCATGCGTACTCTCATTTGAGACCAAGGAACACCTCTGATTCGTTTACCCCTATTTGTGAAAAATTTAGTTAGTCAACAAGATCTGTATAGAAAAGTATAGAAATCGGACTTTTTTTGTGCTCTGACCGAATACTTGCTGTAACACAAAAAATGGATGAGAACTTAGAATCTAATTGATCATTTTCGATGGGAGGCAGTTCCTAATTATCAATTTATACTCTGCCGGCTTGGTGACGTATCCGATAAACATTGCCATTTTACCCAGTAGTTCGGCTGCTAAAGAAACATAGCCGAACAACGGCCAAACTATGAATAACCTCGTATTTTTTTTAAAAAGGTAAACAAGTAATCAGTATTAGTACATTATGTACGGTCATTCAAAAAGAGGCCGCCGTGGATCGTATGAAGGCTGTGATTACCTGTACAACTTATCGATTAAGTGTCACGTGTTGCGGCTTTTGATGACGTTGTGAACACCTGATGTGACGTGAACACATGAGAATTTCAACTGCTCCGACCTGTTATCGATTCTACATGTGGTATTATGAAAATCTAAGGTCTACATTTTTAGTTGTATCGATTTCTGTCTATCATTCTGGCACTATCTGAGAGACAGCATCGTGTGCTCTCTGAAGGTTTTCTGTTACAGATGTTCTTGTTGTTTTCATTCTGGCTCTGAGGGATGACTGATCAGTGACGCATCTTGCTTAGCAGAACTTGAATGCAACATTTTGCGAAACGTCACACCTCTGCGCATGTTTGTCATTGAATAGTTTAGCACATTTTGTGACAGTTCTGATGCACTCAACGAAAAGCGTCACAAGTTACACGCAAAGTTAGGTGTGTGGGCCAATTTGATTCCACTAGATTGTGAAAAAGAGGACCAATTCAATTGTCATGAATCCATTGTGACGACATTTGATTGTAAATACATTCTCGTAACTGAAATACCTTCATTACTGTAGTGTGCGCGAATAGACAGCGTTGGGAAAGATGAACTGACGTAATAATATATCAAATAACATTCCAAAGCTTGTCAACAGCACTGATGGGCTCATGTTTCAGGCCAGAAAAGAGGGCTTGCGGGAAGCAGGCTAGAGTCTTGCGACACAGCATGTATGTTGACGGCATCAGTGTCTGTGTCAGCACAAAACTGACGGTTGCGTTACGGCAGCCCTTCCAATTGACTCATGTTCAACTGATCAATATAAAAGGGACGCTTCAGATGGTTCACATTCTAACTTGTGTTTCATTTCGGAATTCGTGAATTCGGCGACAATATCTTAGCGTAAAATGGCACCCAGTCTAATAAAGTATTATTACCTTGTGTCTTACAGTTCACACTGAGTTAAGATCACTCAAAACCCTGTTTGTTTTGCTAAAAACTGTGTTACAACTTCGATGACAAATATACTGTGGTAAACAGAGTTCATCGGAGCGACTGACCATTCTTGAGCTGATCACTTGGACTGAGCTTTACCCAACTTCACATGCATTTTACAGCGTGCCTTTGGATCGTGGATCCATAAGAAAACAGCAAAACTCCTCACGATTATCAAGCGGTAGTCAAATGCGAGTGCAATCATTCTTCTTGTGTTGCCATTTCATATATGTGTCATATCTCTACGATCAATTCACATGGTGGACTCCACCATTTCTGGCATTATCGGATAATCCTATTATTACCACTGAAATTGCTTGCGATATATGAAGTCACCCTATAGTGAAAAACAGAGAAGCATTACACATCTGTTTCGTTCACAGTGGAAGCAACCATTCGTCTGGGAGCTTAATCTTATACCGCTCTCGCCCTGAAGGCTGAAAAAGCCTCAGTTCAAAAAAGCCTTCCATGAAAGAGCTCGTCATTGAGGAAACAAGATAACATGTGGCCACGTGAATGGGACGTAAGTGATAATATACCCTATCCTGCCGCAAGTACATCATAGTGCTTCTCATCCGCTGTGGTAAGAATGATGTGATGATCATACATTAAGCGGAGAGTCCTGGGTTCAGATTCATTGAGCAGCCGATGAAATGTGCATTGCAGAATAAATCCCAGTGGAGAGTGTAAGTTCAATGGAGACTGTGGGGTCAAACTGCTCCTTATTCCATGGTTAACATTCGTGGTTAATTTCTCGATCTGGATGAGAACGAACTACTGTCGTAGTTGTGATACTACTGATGGGATATGCGAGTAGTATTTTTTCTAAAAAAATCCGCTTTGCGTCTTTTGAAAAGTGAGATCTATTACGATATTGTGGAGTCGCACTTGCTTGGAGTTCGGCAGTAGTCGATGAATATCCAAGAAAGTTCAGGAAGACGCGTTCAAGGAGAAGATGTATATTCAGTTTTTGTGAACAAGATGCGTATGAGAGTTTTGCTTCCCTGTCCAATAGTCTGTAACCGTTGAGTTGGCATTTTCTAGTAAGTAATTCCCGCAGTGAAGGCCTTCCTCCATTCACTGGTACATTGTTCACCATGAAGTCAGTTGACTAAGCTGGTTTTTGAGTAAGCTGGGTGGGTTCATTCTGCAACTCTTTTTTGGAGGTAGACAGGTTGACATCAGATGGAGCACACACAATTATGGCATGTATTTTTTACCCACGTGCCAACAGTCGGAATGAGGGAAATAAACCAAAATACTGTTATTTAGGGTAGCTTGCTATGAACGGCCACGGGCTTCGGTACGGGGGGATGATATGCCGAGAATTATTCTGTGTTACATTCAGTCCTTCAAAGAGCAGCGTCGGACAGATATTGTCATCGTGCTGCTCAGCGAACAACTATGCTTTCCGGGCGAAAGCTTTGTACTTCGACCGGGTGATCAATTTTCCATTCATTTTGTTACCGTCAATGAAAGTGTTTTCGGTTGATGAAATAGATCGCACTACATTTGAGGCTTTCATCAAACCGAACAGGTTAGCAGAGTTTAGGTCATTGTGTTCGCAGTGATCGCAGCTCCACACAGCTCCATCCAGTGCCTTTTTCCCGGAGAAAAATATTGATTTCGAAAGATAGGCTAACTTTCATGTTTCCCGATAATAGTACTCTACTTGCCGGGGAAAATCTCAAGGGTTCACCGGTCAATCAGAAAGGTATTGCTGGTTGTATTCATCTCACTCTTCAGTCGCCAATTACCCGTATCCTTTTTCATTTCTGCGATCCAGCAACCATCGAGTCTGGTGTGTGCATGTGCGTGAATGAACTGTGTGCATGATGCCAATATGAGACCTCTGTGGAACGTATCAATAAGATTTCGGTTGGGGGGAGGGCTGAAATAAGCAAGTGCACCCTGTTTGCATTCAACAGCGGCTCTGTTTTATTGGGACCCATCCACTTAGCTGGAAGGCGAGACCAAAACATGACACGACCCACAGAAATTTTAGAAGGTCACAACAAACTCCTCTTCATGGTCAAGTTGCCAGCGTACACGGTCCACATTTAATAGCACCCTGGTAGAAACTGACTATGGGTGACTTAAAGATTGATCAACCAGTCGAGTTACATATAAGTTTCCAGCCTGTCTCTGAAAAAGGAAGAAGTTCAAGTAGAACATAAGGTTGATGGAGACTCAGGGACTGCGTCTATCTAATGAGCCTCAAGAAGGGCGAAACCGGTCGTGGACTGTCGAAGAGTTTTCAGGAACCTTGTGAGAAGTTTCCATTATGAAGGAGTTTTCCCCTTACAAATGGACTACTGAAGTGACTTCCTCGGATCATCTTGAGATGGGAGAATACACAGGCAACCAATGTGGAGCTTATCATATACAGTTACACCCAGAATATCTTTACAAATAATGCATAAGTTGCCACACAACAATCCTCTCCGGAATATCGGAGCTTTGTGCATTAGTAAATTACCTATTATAGTCAAACAGATCTTACACGATCACTTAGGATCCAGCATATTTCTATCTTTCCAGCTACTCATTTCAATTGAAGTAGGTGTAGATTGTCTGAGGAAGATAGTTGGACAAACATTTATGGTTTACGTCCCGAACACTTAATAAAATGTTTGTACAGGTGAACTGTGCAGGCTGTAACAAAAGTGCCCTATCAAAAAGTATATTGATCGTAATATAATCTTCTTTTGTTGGCTTTAAACACCATTGAATTCACGAAATTGGTGAGGAGTTCACGTACTCGCTCTTCGGTCAAAACTGAGAGAAATGTCTGGTCAGTGTGATGTACTATGGAGTGATGTACTATAAAGGACTGCACTGAGTTCATCCCACTTATCTGCACAAATCTGTGNCTGGTCAGTGTGATGTACTATGAAGTGGTGTACTATAAAGGACTGCACTGAGTTCATCCCACTTATCTGCACAAATCTGTGTGTCTGACCAAAATTGAGTCCTGGCATTATTCAGAGACTAAATTCGTGGACCAAATGGTTCGCTATACGCCCTCTCCCAGTCCCCGCAAGTCGGAGTAATCAAATGGGTTGCGGTCGACTCTCCGCGGCAAACGCATGACTGTTTTTAGTCGAGGAATTGAAGTAACCTGGAAAAATTCACAAATCGGTCGACCAGTAACACATAAGTTATTGCAGAGTAAACTGCATGATTGCGGTATTTCTGCCACCGGACCCGAGGCTTGTCTACCGTTCCATAGACTTTGCGCTTACACATACTGAAGTCCCATCATAGCGACATGTATCAGTCGCCGCAACGTACACCATAGATGTTGATTTGTGCAATTCCAATAGCAACTTAGTGTGAGTAGTTTAGATTGGCTTAGGTATTTGGTTGTTGTAGGATTGACAATAACGTCAGATCTATCGCTCGACTGACACGGTGATGGTTTTTAGTCATGCTACTTTCTTCCAGCAAGAAATAGTACACATGCTAAATCATGGGGTTAGAAAACTCACATGTCTTGTACACGGTTTGATCAGATGAGGAGACAGTGGAATTCCAAGCTACCCTGACCTACCCAGAAAAGTTTATTTTGGAAGTTTGTGGTAACCTGACTAGATACAAAATGCGTGTTCAGGTGAACCTTTCCAACTTGAGGTTCTTAGGGATTGCTGTGTGTTTTGAATGACGCTATTTTTCTGCATAAAAGTTTACCGGACAAAGCATTCGTGCTGCAAAAAGTTTGGGAACGCAAGTGAATTACAACTTTGTATCTATCAAAAGGAAACCCCTTACTTACCAGATTTCTCGTTAAACTCTCCACGGAAATCGTGTAGTTTTATTTCGTCGTACCACATCTTTGATGCATCGGAGCCTACGAAAAAAATTCGGGAACTAGTTAGACCTTGACAGAAAAATTTGTACGCGAAATCTACAAAATAATTTCCTTTTGTGTCCCCACCTTTTTGGTGTTTTGTCCTCTTTTTCTCGAAACATGTAAGAATGGTAACTATAGCCGCTATCTACCGATTTTCAGTCATTTTTCCTAATCAGATATTACTCAGTCTATCTGAATTCTTAAAAAGGACTCTTGTGCCAAAGAGAGATCCCACTTACTTGAAGTGGCTTGGCGGTTAGAGCGCGAATTTACTGACCATGGTTCAAACCTGAACTCTGTCTCTCGACTAACCCTGGGCTCTGGTAGTATCCAGTCTATCGTGCTTCCTTCGGGTGGCATGGTAGCTAGTGTCCACAAGGGTGTTACAGCTGAACGATTTTTTCCCGCTTATGAGAAAGCTGAGTGACCAAATCAGTGGGACGTCAAACCTTTTTTTAAATGTTTTTAAAAGACATCGTATTTGCTATCTGTATTACTAGGGACGCAATATCATCCCCCAAAATCAACCGGTAGAAGATGCCATCTATGGTCAAAGTGCCATTCTTTTGGTAAGCCTCAGTAATTCGATAAAAATTACTACTGAAAAATAGGTTTTTGTTGTTTATCAGCTGTTGGTCTTTCTAAAATCGACTAACATCATAGCTGCCTAGAAGGTAATTTTTACCAGCAATGGTTTAATTTTATGCACAAATTCTGCGACAAAAAAGAACCAGTATATTACACGACAACTTTCAGAGACTTGACTTCCGAATCACAGTGGCGTACCTACTGATGAGTTGATGTTTTTCGCAAAATTCTGGTTTATTGGACTGATTACACCTGAAAATGTTTCCCCGTTTAGCATAATGGAATCACGGTACCTCTATGAAACGACGTATCTGTCTAGTTTACTGCAGGAAAAATAAAGTCCGATTGCCGTCGTACTGTAAACGGTTATGGTAAAATCCACGCACTAAGAGAGTGGCTGTTTTGTTTCATAGATAAATTTTGCGCGGAAATCGACTGAGTTGGAACCTATCACCCACCTGTTAGTGTGGCTTTTTGTGAAGATATGCTTGTTGCCAGATTCTCGCCGTATTCCTTAGAGTCGCTATGTATCAGCTTCCTAAGTTGGGCCAGTCTCTCCGCATATTTCTGGGCACCCTCGGCCAACTTGTTATCCAGTGTCAAAGCAGGACATCCGTGAACTTTTCTGTACCTGATTGGAAAAAAACATCGTGAAGGTCATAATTTGGACTTGTGCGATTCGTGTTTGGCGGACAGATATGTTGATAGGTTAGATAGATAGATAGATAGATAGATAGATAGATAGATAGATAGATAGATAGATAGATAGATAGATAGATAGATAGATAGATAGATAGATAGATAGATAGATAGATAGATAGATAGATAGATAGATAGATAGATAGATAGATAGATAGATAGATAGATAGATAGATAGATAGATAGATAGATAGATAGATAGATAGATAGATAGATAGATAGATAGATAGATAGATAGATAGATAGATAGATAGATAGATAGATAGATAGATAGATAGATAGATAGATAGATAGATAGATAGATAGATAGATAGATAGATAGATAGATAGATAGATAGATAGATAGATAGATAGATAGATAGATAGATAGATAGATAGATAGATAGATAGATAGATAGATAGATAGATAGATAGATAGATAGATAGATAGATAGATAGATAGATAGATAGATAGATAGATAGATAGATAGATAGATAGATAGATAGATAGATAGATAGATAGATAGATAGATAGATAGATAGATAGATAGATAGATAGATAGATAGATAGATAGATAGATAGATAGATAGATAGATAGATAGATAGATAGATAGATAGATAGATAGATAGATAGATAGATAGATAGATAGATAGATAGATAGATAGATAGATAGATAGATAGATAGATAGATAGATAGATAGATAGATAGATAGATAGATAGATAGATAGATAGATAGATAGATAGATAGATAGATAGATAGATAGATAGATAGATAGATAGATAGATAGATAGATAGATAGATAGATAGATAGATAGATAGATAGATAGATAGATAGATAGATAGATAGATTAGGTAGGTAGGTAGATGGAAAAATAAATAACTAGATAGATAGATAGATGGAAAGATAGACAAATGGATGGATGGATAGGCAGCTACGTGGATTAAATAAAAACATGTAAGCCGGTAAATAGAATTAATAATTTTTCTCTTCCTTATAACAAGATGTCAGTGTGGTCTCAGCACCTGACTGGTGAACGCTAAAAATTTGCAAATCAGGAACTTAAAAAAAGGCAACTGGTGCGTGTGCTGGTGCTAAAATTCACAGGGGTAGTGTAGTGACAAATTAAAACGGAACATCCTATTTATTATTCGCATTGGCGAACGTCTGCTTAAAGGCGTCCGATTATGTCTGAAAGATTTTCCGAAAAAATCTGAGTAAGGAGGGCAAGGCACGCGTCATAGAGCAAACACTCAAGATAGCGAACAAGCAGAAAATAACGTCAGAGCGACAGGTGAACGTGGAAACACCGGAAACTCTCGTCCGAAAGTGAGATTCATGTCCTAAAAGAAAGGAAGAGGTACATCTAACCTCGGAAGCGTTAAAAATTTACAGTACATATCTGCGGGACTCGCCAGTATAGTGTCGCAGAAGACGAGGATATACACCATTCAAAACTTCTGAGGTTTCAATAAGGCGAGGTCATTTGAAAGGGAGTGGGGGTTGAAAAGGTTCGAGAATTAGGACAACAACTTACCCTTTAATGAATGTAAAACTGGACAATGTGCGTCGTGTCGTTTTCATTTTTACAACGTAAAATTTCACAGCCGATGACTACAGGCTGATTTTTGTGGATTTTTCGTACAGGATTGCATACAGTACACTTTTTTCTCCCCTCTAGCTCCTCTGAGATGTATGAAGCTAACAATTTCGGTAAGATGTACTTGAATTCGCAAACGAAGCTATCCGTACAAAGGACGTATTGAGCATTTCCTAATAATATTGACTTTACTGTTACGTCAGAACAGAATGGAGAGTAAAATTTCTCAGCGGGACCTTACCGTCTACAGTTCGCAGGAAGCAAACCTGGACAGGCCAGTGTGTTTACTGAAATAGCGTTGGTATGCTGCAACAGACGCGCAGCTCACTTAGGTACCCGAATAAAAGAGCTTTTAACATATGCCCCATCCCGATGGTTCGCCAAAGTTGCTAAGGTTCTTAGGACGCTTAGTTATTCTGGATAGTTTGTACGCGTAGCTCCACAATTTAAAGAAAACAAAACAATGTCTATTTGGGAAGACGTGCGTCTTTGTGAAGCTCTCATTCAAAGGTTATTTGGTTGCTGAAGTGGTTACCAGATAGTTTGGAAGTTGTATTGATCCAAAATGAATGTCCGTTAATCAGTGCTCGCGTTTCAGTTCCAGGCCCAGTACTAGCTCCCTTTTGAAGGACGACAAAGTGTTTGTCATGGAGAATACACGAACACAATCCCGTGACCCTGACTGGTGGCCGGAAGAAACCGAGCGTCACATCTGATCAAAACCAATAATGTCATGGACAGTCATATGCAGGGTACAGGCTGGTGAGATCCTCACTCTTAACAGTCACCCAAAAAACTGAAATCCAAGTAAACAAACCAAAACTTTGTGTGCAAAATAACTTCGGAACTTAAGCTGACCAGCGGAAAATGCGCTCTCTCAAAACTTGTTTGACGCCTGACTCCGCTACCAACTGATCCGTGTACCTCCTAATCAAGCCCATGATATTCACACAAAATGTGCATGTGATTTCTGAAATCACTATAAACCTGTGGTGTATTAGTCAAGAGGATCAGTCACAGGATAAACCTTTCTTCGCTACATTCTTTTTCTCACTAATAAAGCTACCGGTATTGTCAAACTCAAAATACAGTTTGTTCAAAACTTCACTGGGGGTGTTAGCTGAGACTTTCGGGGCAACACGCAACTTAGAAACTAAGTATTTGCGCAAGTTGGTTAAAAATATGCCTTTACTGGGTACACACAGACAATTCTGAGAGGGGTTGAAGCGGAAGAATCAATCGTCTTGCAAAGCACACTCATCTGCATGTCAATTTTGTTTTAACTGGAGACTCAACCAAAATCCAGCTGGATCTCGCGTTTATGTTTCGTGTTTCATTCGGTACGAGATTCGCAGGGGTATCGGGGCATTTGGTCTTGAGGGAAACTACTCAAGCTCGAGGAGTTTTCAGCACTTTGTGTACAGTTTCCTTCAAAACAACCAATCGTCTTCAGCGAATGTAGAAGCTAAATTCGCAATACTATTTCAAAATAGCTCTTGCACCGACAGATGCGAAGATGTGATAAACATTTAATGCCAGCATTATCGTGCGTTTGTACGAGTTGTAAGCAAGCAATTGCTTGATTGAAATCTGAAAGTCAACACTAAAAACTGAGGGCATGGCAAGCACATCAAAACAAAATTTGGAAATGTAATATGACGATGGGCTGACAAGCAGAGTTTGCGGGTTCATTTCTGTAAACATGAATCAAGCTATGATAAATGAAGCTGGACTGATTTATAGGATAATCCAAGTCGTTATTCGGCAAAATTCTGATAATTCACTAAGATTACGAACCGATGAATTTCCTTAAACGGTATGTATGATCTATCAAAATGAAGGTTATCTTGAACAATAATGAAGGTAAGGAATCTCCGGTGTCCCCATATCCCAAGAAATTTGGTTTAAGGAAAGTAGTATCAAAAATGGGATCCCCGTGAGCCCGGAAGAATGGTTATTTTTCTCATAATTCAGTGTCCTGATGATTTACATGTAGTTTGAAAGGTTCTCTTATCCGAGATGTCTTCAACCACCGTTGTACTGCGATCGCATTTGAGCCGCTGGACTTTGAAGTGCAGAAAATGAAGAACTGGGCGTTGCCGGCAAGTTACTAACTCCCTGACTTCTATAAATAGAGGTTGGCGTATTAGTTATGGCCTTCACTACCAGGAGTTGACGAACTCGGTATAGTTGAATACGAAAGCATAAGAATTCCTAGTATCACCCCTAAATCAAGTATTCTCACATGTTTCGTTTTGTCAAGTACTTTGACTGATCACATGCTTGATAACACACGCCTCACTCAAACCTTGTGTGATGAAGCTGATAAATAAAATTGTAAACTATTTTCTGGTTCTAACAAGGATCTCGTGATTTCCCAGAAAGTGAGATCAGGAATGCTACTCAACGTGTCATCTACACATTCAACGTGGATACAGAAAACTTAAGGCTTTTAGCCGGAATGGCTGAACTTACTCATAAACCTCTTTTCTGGCAAGACAGCACATTGCTTGCACCCAGTTTTCGCATTTTCGTGTTTTTGTGCCACTTGTTTAAGGTAGTCTTCCTGTCAGATTGTCGAATTGCCCAGGTATTGAACAGAAATAAGTCTGTTTTGTCTATGCGGGGTCCTGTAAATTTGTCAGAAGACGTGTGCTGACCCCTTCCAAGTTAGTGCCAATGGTGACCTATTTTGAATCTCATCTAGCCTGCCGTGGACCAAAGCTTTACCACTGTCAACGCAGCACGCTCCAGGCTGGATCGACGAAGTAGTTCTAAAGACGAACAAAAATGTTACCATTCGCTTCATTCTACTCAGCAATCCACATGGGTTCTTTTGTTCAAATTGTGTTTAGATACTGAACAGGAAGAAGTCCTTCGCTGAGGAGTTGTTTGTCAGAGAAACACCAACTGAACAGTTACAGACTAGTGGACAGGGGAGCAAAACTCTCATATGAATATTGTTTACCAAAGTGAATATCTATTCTCCTCTTGAGCGCGTCTTCCTGAACTTTCCTGACTGTCTCACTTTTCAAGAGACGCGAGGCGGATTAACGAGAAGATGCTACTCACATGCCTCATCAGTAGTATACACCGTTACACTGGCAAAAGTTATCCTACTGACAGGACAGTCACATGAGATATGACGGAGAAATCGACAAGGCCGAGATTATTGATCACTTGATGCATGAATGAACATGAATAAGTTATGATGTGCAAAGAGTGTTGAACGTAAAAAGCTGACCAACACACGTGATTGAGGC